ACTCAAAGTTTTTTTTTTTTTATTTTAGAACTGAGAATGATTTTCTTTAGCCAGTGATACATTCTAGACAATCACAATCACATAGCTATGAATGCATTTGAAAATTTCTCTCTGTTCTATATACATGTGTTTTTTTATAGTGGAAGATTTTTTTTATTTTAATGCTACTAAACTCATATTCATTTTTATTATCTTAAGATATGCACATGAACAGAAGTAAAACTAAACAAGGTAAAAGAGCTGAACTAAGAATACCCTTGCTTCTGGTTCTTTTTTAGATGGTATAGAAGTGTTGGCAGTAGAGACAGAGAAATTGATCTATGATCTCTATGAACTTGGACTTTCACATACCATTAGTATTTTATAATGGGCTAGAAATAAATGTTAGGATAATAATCAAGTATGATTATCTTGGCCTCATGAACTTCTATAGTAAACAGTCATAGACTGGACATCTTAAAAAACAGTCAGGAATTTCTCAAAACTCAGGACTCTGGAAAGTCCAAAAGCAAGGTGCAGGCATACGCATTCTCTTCAGAGAACACGCTTCCTTCTTTACAAATGGCTCCTCTCATTTTAGATTTATGTGGAAAAATGTGATCACAATGACCCTAGGCTCATCTATATCTAACCATATTCCAATGGTGATACCTCTAAATATCATAGTTTTAGGTGATCATGGCTTGAATATATAAATTTTATGAGATCAAACATGCATCCATGAAAAGTATCCCTCACATTTTTGTTTGAGCAACTGAGCTTATTGTAGTAGTTTCTTTGTAAGATAAGATGTACATCTGTGGAAAAATCCCTAGTACTTTCCTGTTGAGCTGGTAATTGCAGCTATGCAGGAGATTAAGGCAGGAAGATTACAAGTTCTAGGACTGCCTGGGTAACTTGGAGAAACTCTATCTCCAAAGGAAAAAGTAAAGAAAATAAGGGTTTGGGGATTTTCATAGTTTGCTCTCCTCTGTTGTGATAAAATACTCTGATGAAAAGCTATTTGAAAGAGGAAAGGATTTATCTGGTTTCTCCTCACATAACACAGTTCATCATAGAGGAAGATCAGGGCTCCAGAGGTGGGTGATGAAGCAAACACCATGCAGGCATGATGCTTACTGGCTTGCTTTCCCTGGCTTGGTCAGTTACCTTCCTTATACACCCCGGGCCCACTTGTCCAGGAATGGCACTGCTCACTCAGGGATGGGCCCTTCTGCATCAAATATCAATTAAGAAAATACATCACATCCATAATCATAGGCCAATCTGATGTAGAAAATTCCTCAAATGAGGCTCCCTCTTTCTGGGTGTCTCTAATTTGTATCAAGTTGACAAAAACTAACCATCATAGGGATATGCTCAGTGGTAGACCAATTGCTTAACGTGTATGATTATGTAAAATGAGTGAGTGTCTAGGTACTATCCCAGTTCTGAGGGGTGTTATTTCTGTGGAAAATGTCACATACCTCGTTAGGTAGTCAGGCCAATATCTCAAGCTGGCAGTTTTGTATGAATCAACACTCCAATGTAATAGATAGAATCAAAGCAGGCTATGAAAAATTAATAGGCATGTATTGAAACAGTATTTCATTTCTGAGTTTACTTACATTTAAGTATTTGGTTTCTTAAAATACAGTGGAGGACATCATTTAATTAGCCTCTTTTTGGAGAATATGATAGTTCTTATAGTTCTCAAAATTAGGAAAATAGTTATTTTGAATGTTAATCTTTTAATTCTGACTTTTCTGAAAATTTTTAACAGAAAAATGTGTAAATATTCAAGAGAAACATATGTAGTTGATTTTCTATGAGTGTTTTCCTCCTCCATGCAGAAAGTATATTATATGTTCATGAAATAATTAGTTTATAAATTGTCATAGATTGCTTAGTGTAAGACAGAAGGAGTCCTATTTTTTTCTGAGTTACAGAGGAGTCTTATGCTGTGTAATTTGTTAAATTTACACTACATGTAATAACTATGTCTTATGGAACTTTCAAATGCCTTGGGGAATTAAAATTAACTATTCAGATGGTGTTACTTAATGCCATAGTTTCTAAAAATTTGGTATATACTTGATTTTTCTGAAAGAAATCAATTTAAATGTAATAAAGCTGAAGATAGATAAACTTTAATAGTAATATGTTCATTAAGAATAATATTTTTAAAAATAAAATATTTTTGAGAATTCACTATATGCATATGATAAATCTTGATCCTATTCACTTCACTCTTCCCTCTAACTCCTCCCCAGTCCAGCTCTCATCTCCTTACCTATCCAACTTTGTGTCTGTTTTTCTTTCTTTTGTGTGTTTTTTCTGTTTTAAAGTAACCCACTTAGTCCACTTCCCTCAGGCTATATACCCATGGTAATAGAGCCATCCACTGGAGCACAGGCACCCTATCAGAGGCCATATCTTTTAATCCTTTTAATAAAACTGAGTCTTCTCCCAAAAGCTATCAACCATCAAAGATCCTCTGCTCTACATAAGAACTTGTGAGGTGCTCTCACTTCCATACTGGAATGCTGGCCATGGGGATCTTCTGCATGTCTCGTGCTGGCACCCACAGCTGCTGTGAGTTCATGAGTGTAGTAGTCCTCCTCTGGTCCTCTTCAACCTCTGGTTCTTAAAATATATCTGCCTCCTCTTCCACCTTGGTACCTCAACTTTGGGATACAGATATTCCATTTATGTTTGAACACTCCACAGATATTTGTATTCTGTATTTTGACCAGTTGTCACTTGCTCTACCAACTGCTGTCTACAGCACAAAGAAACTTTACTGATAAGGTCTGAGAGCTGCACTAATCTATTGGTACAAAGATACAAATTTAGAGGACATTTGATTTGGTGTGTGTTTAGCAGAATAATAGTGGAATAATAGTAGTAGGTTTACCCCTGGGGCCAGTGACTCTGCAACCATGACTTCTTGACTAGATTTATAGTTCAAATACATCTTTCCTCCTATCTAGTTAGAAAATAATTGACTACCCCATAGGAATTGTGCCACTACGGTACCCATAAGCATATCTTACCATACCAGTCATTATTATTATGTAGTTAACAGGATGATAGCTGGGTAAGACTGTAGGTGACATTCTTCCTTCACCAGCCTTCATAGCACCTTCCAGTACTATGGAAGCTAGCCAGCAATTCCAGTCAGTATCAACTTGATTTTGGTCCCATGACAAAAGTGTGTGGTGTCTTCACCAATATGATCTTACCATCAAACTATGGTCAGCTACCAAGAGCAAGGAAATAGCCTGTATTATGTTGGTGGCCTCATGGATACTGTGGATCAACAACTCAAGGGGAAGTATACTACATCTGGCGTGTAGTCTTTTTTGGACAATGTATGGCTTCTAGGAAGAGCAATGTCCCGAAAGCTAATAAAATAGGCTTCATTATTATTGAAATATCCTTATTTGATAGGCCTCCACATGCACATATTAAAACCAATATATGAATTCTGATTATATATCATACTGTAGAATAAGTCACAAAATGGTCAGAATTTTCCATACTTTACTATGATCTTTAGTAGACGTTTGAGACGTTTGCACAGAAATGCTCTTCCCTTTATGATTTCTTGGGTGTCTGTAATTTGGGGTATTTGATGATGTCATAGACTACTGTCTGTGATATCTGAATTGATTACAGAGGGAAAAAGTAACCATGGTGAAAGTATGCATAGCAAGCTGTAGGAACAGCCTGCTGATTACACTGCAGAAAATTCCTATTTACATGCAAATATCTTTGTAATCAGCAGTGATAGGGAAGGAAATATAGGAAACTCTAAAGCCTGGAGGTTCATAACTCTAACTTTCTATAATCCTCTGTCTCAGAAAATGTTTTCAGATCTCAGTGATAAAGCTTTGCATATATAAAAAAATACACAAAACTTAGGTGTATTTTACTTGAAACAATGCATTTTAGAAGATCTTATCATTTTTCCGTTATTTTCAAGTACAGTTTATGGGTTTTTGAATTATCCCAAGCCAGATAGTCTCAGATTAGTATTTTAGTTTTAATATTTTTTAAAGCAATGAGTGCTTAGAGGTTTTTGTTCTCATTATAGGAAGTTATCCTGTCAATTGAGGTTATCCTCAGTTTTAATTAAAGCAGTAACGTTTTAGTTTGGGGCATGGTGGAACATACCTCTAATCCCAGCACTCTGAAGGTTGAAACAGGAGGATCTTTTATTTGAGGACAACTTGAGCTATGTAGAATAGACAGGGAGACAAAACCAGACACTGTCTACCATAAAGCAAGGTCTTAGGCCCTAGTCAGGGAATGTACTACTTTTGTTTAGCTAAATTGGCATGGTGTCAAGCTGTCTTCTAATTATTTATGCTGATACCCAGAGGAAAATGCCACTCTCAGTCTTACTCTTAGAAGCTTCTCTTTGAAATGTCTAGAGCTGAATGCAGAGACACATGGGTGCTCAAGGAACTAAGAGTGGTGGCTGAGTCCTCAACCCTAGACAGGATACTGATACTACTATCTCTAAGGCTCAGAAAACAGTGTGGAGAAGGCTTAGAAAGAATGTGAAGATCCAGATGGTATTGTAGGAGGACTGTGAAATGTTGTCTTCAGGGCAAGACATAGCCATTGAAATTCTGATGCCACCATAGCTGATTGCATGAGATGGGCCTGCAGAAGACTGGGGTGTTATCAGTTAGTCACAGCTGAGGAAGAGGCTCTTGGAGCCATACCCAACCCTGATGAAGTATTGATACTGATAGATTATAAGGGATGGTCAGTTAATGTCTTCAGTTTTGTGTCCGTGGGTTAGCCCACCCAATTACTGTATCTAATAGATCACAAAATGAAACAGGAAAACGTGAATGTGGGAGGGGAACTTGTAGAGAGAGGAGGGGCTTGATGATGGTAGGAGGAAAATGTGAGAAATTGGGGGGATGAGAGTGACCAGGATGCATTAAATACATGCATGAATTTGTCAAAAAAAAACTTAATAAAAACAATTTTGTTTGTTTTTCCAGGGGAGAACAAGAACACAACAGCCTTTATTACAAATTATACAGTTGAGTTTATTGCATTTGGGGAAATCACAGGGTTGAGAACATCCCTGGAATGTTTTCTGAGCCTCACTCAGAAAATCACCTATTTGATCATGGTATCTCCCCTGGCAGGAAAGTAAAACAAAAGATTTTTGATTAAAAAAAATTTTAGTACATATCTGAGTGCTCGGTATACATTTTTATATAGCTTATTTGAATTAACACATGCCTTTTAATTAATTAATTAATTGATTGATTAATTTTGGTTAGTTTATAATGATGTCCCAACTCTCACAGTTATAAGAAACTCCTGAGGAAAATATTTTTGTACACGTAGATATGGAGGGATTGATGTAGGTGGTAAGCTACAGTGCTGCTGTAGTTCTGATACTAAACACCAGAGGCTAAGAAAAAAAATAGAGATAAAGGATGTCTTGTAATCTTACCATCACAGAAAAAAACATCAACTGGTCATTATTTCAGTTTCAAATTTAAAATCTTGAGGAAAATTCCAATTTAATTTGGTTGGAAAATGGATAATATTCCTAGTTTTGTCAAATAGCATTACATGTAATCACTATTTTATATTCTACTGATTCAAAATTATACAAGATAAAAATATTAAAATTACACAGTTTGATAAAATCATGTACCTAAATATATCTGAAAAGCTAAGATTTTCAAAGTGTTAGTTCAATGGGACGATAAGGCAGCATAACCATTGCTGAAGAGTGCTCTTTGGGGATGGAAGTGAACCTCAAGAGCCTAGCACTCAAAGAGGAAAAGGAGAGTGACTGGGACCCTGCCTGGGAATCTGTAGGATAAAATAAGTTTTCAGAAAAGTCTCAGAATGAGTTATGCCAATTAGATATACATATGCAGATGTGCAAATTTAAGAAGTGATCATACACCATACACTCAGAACACCTGCAAGTAGATCATAGCAGTAAATGCAAGAGCTATAACATGGCTTTAAAAATAGCACAAATCTGGTGGACTAGGGTTAAGTAATTGTTTCATCATCTTAACAATAAAGAATCAATAATAAAAGGTTTTAGGTTGAACTTAAGCATTAGTTTAGAAATGTGTGGTTCAATACAAGCAATTAAATATGTGAAACAGGAGCCAGGTACACATGCCTTTAATCTCAGTACTTGGAAAATAGGGATATTCAGTTTTCTGTGAGTTTGAGGGCAGCCAGGTCTACATAACGAGTTCCAGAAAACTCTGGGTTGTGTAGTCACCATGCTTCCCTGAAACAAACAAATTAGCAGAGTGACACAGATGGAGAGATGGCTCGGGGGTTAAAAGGCTTTACTGTTCTTCCACCTCTACTCAGCATTCACATTACCCAGCTCACAGCTGCCAGTAATTCCAGCTGCAGAGGATCTGATGCCCTCTGCTGGCCTCCAGGGACACCTACACTCTAACACATACACCCCCACACAGAAACACATACACACAATTTAAACATAAAATAAATAGTATAAAAAGGCAAAGCAGTGAAAGCACGCATCTCATATGGAACAGTGTTAGTCAGTTCATTGTTCATTCAGGAAGAAGAATACACTGAGTTTTCATGGAGAGAAATAAATCTGCCTTTAAAATATGAAAATAAATGATTTTTTGTTTAGTTTTTATTTTGTTTTGACTAAGTAAATGATCATAAAGACAACTTAGAAAAGAGATTGCATTTTTCCTGACACTTTTCTTTCTTCAAAATCTCCCCATGAAATAATTAGTGGTAACAAAGCACTTTGAAAATGAATCCATGATGCAGTTATCTTGAATGATCTAAGATAGTGCTGCTTAAAAACATACCAAAGAATGGGTTTCAAAGACAGTAATACCAGCTATAGGGAGAAAGATTTTCTAAGAAAACAAGTATTGAGTTTAAACCACTTAAACATTCTGGTAAAAAGAAATCAGCAGGTCAAAATATAGAGCACAACAGAGAGTTTATAGTTATTCCTTTTACTCCACCAATTAAAACTTTAAGTTAAGCTTCTTTTCACTGTTTCCTACCTTGTGAATTGCTGAAGATTATATAAATTTCATGAGGATATAGATAACTACAGTTAAATAAAATGTAGCCTTTCCATTGGCCCACATATCATTACAAAAATAGGATGCTCATAGCATGGAAGGTTAGTAGTTTCCCAGGTTGATATACTTACTATTTCTAGGTAACAACACAGTTTTCTTTAGTTTCAATCAATTTTAAATACCTTGATCTCTTTTACATTGTATATTTTTTGAGAACTCAAAAGTATTATGCAAATATTAACTATCCTGGGTCTGAAAGTAAAATGAAATTTAAAGTTCTTTGTTACATTAAAGACTCATAAAGTTATATGACTAGAAAACTCTCCTTATGCCAGTTTCAAGATTAGACTAAAACAAATTTCAAGAGTTGATAACTTTCTGTTTTAAAAGAGAAAATCAATTTCTAATTTTTTTTTGGTCTTTTTTAGACAGGGTCTCCCTGTAGCCCCAGCTGTCCTGGAACTCACTATGTAGACCAGGCTGGCCTTGAACACACAGAGATCCACCTGCCTCTGCCTCCCAAGTGCTGGGATTAAAGACATGCACCACCACGCCTGGCCCCCAACTTCTAATATTTAACAACTTAGAATGATTATTTATTTTCCTTTTTATTTTTATATGAAAAATAATAATACCGCTGCTAGACAAGGGGAAGACACACTACCCTCACTGTTCTGGACAAATGATAAGCTTTGTCAAAACACTATTAAAATCAGTATTAGTTTTTAAAAAGCTAAGTTTTTATTGTACACACATCCATGTTAAAAAGAAAATATATTGAAATTTGGGGAAATTCTATTCTCTATTTGGAAACTATCAGATTTTCCTTGCCAGCTTAGCTAACTAGAGCAAAGGCTTTCAAAGTCAGACAGACAGCTAAATTATTCTTATTGCAAAATCAGACCTTTTGAAGTCCTTGGATTATAACTGATTCTTTATACTTCCAAACGGAAGACTTAAACAAAACTGATTCAGTTTGTACATGTCTTTTTGTTATCATGCTCTTGCTAAATTCTAGGTGACCCTGAAGCTATTTCTAAATAAGTTGGAGTGGTAGGGAAGACATACCCTGTTGGAGTAGCAGAGGCCCTGCTGTGATGGGTGTTAAGGATCAGCGAAGTGATTAGTGCAAACACAATTCTCCATTGTCATGTGTGTTGTGCTATTGCTGATGATAACACAAATCTTTGGCTATTAAGCCTCTCTAGCTTAATGCCTGTCCATATATCCCAACAAAAAGAAGTGTGGGATGGTGGGAGGCAGGTATTATTGGGGGGAGGATGGGGATAATGAGGGTGGTGAGATGTGGGAAGGAAGGAGGGAGAGTAAAAATGAGTGAAACTTGGAGGGGGGCTCTACAAAACACAGAAGGAAATGTGATGCCCCTGAAATCCCATGAGATTTGGGCATATATTGTCTCAACATCAATGCATATGTATACCTAGGAGCTGCTTGGAAAGGAGCACAATGCCAGACAGAAGACACCTCCCTTTGAGTGATTGGTGATAGTGGCCCAGAACACTCCCAAAATAATACAGACTATTGCCAAACCTCTTGATTAGCTCCCAGGACTAATAGTTAAGAAACTACTGCTGAATACTTACTTCAGTTATAGGACTTAGAACAATGAAGCAGGAGCTGACTAGAAACAATCTACCTGAAGTTCAGCTGTCATAATGCTGGATGATAACACGCAAATTGCTAAGGGAGGAAAACAACCAAAGTCCAACCCAGCCCTAAAGCCTAATAACCATAACAACCAGCATGACAAACTACCTCTATTGGTGCAGTAGTAGCACTGCCATCTGGGGGACAATCAACACCAGATAATTGGACATAAAGCCTTCTCAATGGGAGTGAACTAGTGGGTGGCACTGTTAAACTTAGCCAAGTACTCATGGCAGGAGAGAATATAGACCTTAGAGAAAACCATATCTCTTTCATATCTATAGACAAATGAAATTTCTTATCATATGCTAAATATGGATCCTTATATTTATTGACAAGTGTACTGTCCACCACTCATCAAAGAAGCTTCTTTTTGCAACAGATGGAGGTTACTGCAGAATTCCACAATTGGTCAGACACAGAGAATATATGTCTGAGATATGCCTGGTTCAGGGTGATTCATCTACAGTTGAACTTCTGCACCTAAGACTCATGGAATAAGGGGTAGAGGACAAACTAATGCATCCCTCAAGTCTCACAGTAAAGCTTCCTTATACAACAGAGTATATGTACACATGTCATGCCACAACTTGTCAAGTTTTCAAAAGTAAGAGACTGCAGAATGTGTATCCTTGAATAGGACTCCTATATTGAACCTCACCCACCCATGGCTCAGGGATCATTGCAGAAGAGGGAGTGGAAAGACTGTAAGAGATAGGGTCAATTCATGAACACAGGGAAGCAGAGGCTTTCAGGCCACTGGAAGCTTACACATGTGAACATGTAAACTGAACCACCCCTGCATCTCTGGAATAAAGTTGACTTGATCATGGTGGATGATCATTCTGCTATGTGTCTTTAGGTGATTTGCAAGTATTTTGTTGAGAAAGTTTTCATCTATGTTCATTAAGGATATTGTTTTAAAGTTTCTTTTGTGGTTGTGTCTTGGTTTGCTTTGGGCATTAGAGTGATGCCTGTTTTGTTGAAGGGGTTTAGGTGTTCTCTCACTGTTTCTATGCTTTTTAATAATTTATGTAGTATTTATTTAGATGGTCTTTAAATGTCTGGTATAATTCTGTTGAGAATCCATCTGATCCTAGACTTTTTTAGTTGGCAGGTTTGTATTATTATTTCAATGTCCTTATTTATTATGCATCTTTTAAGTATTGATCTCTTCCTGGTTTAGATTTGGTGGTTCCCATGAATTCAAATATTTATCTACTCTTTTAGATTTTCAAACTTAATACAGCATGGGTTTTTAAGTATTCACCTATAATTATGTTCTGGATCTTTTTGGTGTCTGCTGTGCTGTTTCCCCTTTCTTCTCTAATTTTGTTGGTATGGATTTGCACTTTCACTCTGCTAATAAGCACACTGAGGTTATACTTCATGTCTGCTCTGGTAATTTGTATTTCTAATATTTTCT